ACTTTGAAAGTCAATGGGAGCGTCTTTGATGCTTAATAACTTTTTACGTTTAAGATATGTTTAAGTCAAAAGTTGATATTTTATACAACTTTTGATGCTCTTTCCAATGATATATAGAACGTTATTGCACGTTGTTCCGTTTTCCTGGTGTTGTCCATCTGAACTTGTCAGTCACGTGACCCATTTGACCTTCGGATCCAATTCTGGTAGTCAATTCTGGCGCTTTTGTTACCATAGCGAAATATGTAACGCCGTGTTCACAGTTTACTGACGACGAAGGTCCTGCTTAATCTGGCAAATAGCGTTCGAGAACTGCGGCCAAGCCCCGCTGATCTTGAACGTGATTGGTCGGTGGGCGTAAAGAATCTCCGTCGTCAGGGAGACTGCGAACACGGGGTAAACCAAGGAGTAAACAATCTGTGCGTGGAATGGGGAGTGGTGAATGTGGAACGGCGATGATAGGTGCTGATGTCGTCGATTTTTATTTATACTGTTATCCTTATTATACATTCTGATCATTTTTTATGTTCAGGAGTTTTCTCTGTTGATTTAACATCAAAAACGGTGTGTTTAACTGTTATTGCCAAGTGCCATATTGATATTGAAATTGGGGTACAATTCAACATTCTGATTCACTGGTTTTCTATGGCCTGTTGTGTATCATATTATTGGTAATGTGAATATAGGTACTCCAAACGGCAAACACTGCTATTTTCTGGTATATATTAATGTTTGACCTGATTTTATATTATTGGTAATGTGAATATAGGTACTCCAAACACTGCTATTTTCGGGTATATATTAATGTTTGACCTGATTTTACTTCACTTCACCTTATATTTTTTGCAGGAACAGTTATCACAGCATTATTGTGCAAAAATAAGGGTGGTGTATCACAGCATATCACAGCACTCTGCCAGCCGCTTTTGGCTTCCATAGAGACATCAACAAGCCTATACCTCCAACACTACCGGAGGTTGACGCTAGCTCACGCGGAATGCGCTGGCAGCGGCTGGCAGCGCGCCCATGAAACACAGCCAGGGGTTTCTTCTGTAAAGTCATTGTTGTCTAGGTACATGGGCCTTTACCAATTGTTAACAGCTATAAAAATTGGAATTAAAAATGTTCAGGTATTATGAGCATCAGCTAAACAGGGAAGAGGATTCGGCTTCAGCCCATCTTGCAACGCCTCAATGAAATTTAACGAGAAACTTAAATTGAGGGAGCAGCTACTCAACTGTGGTAAAGCCCATAAATCCTTGTGGATTTACCTACATACCTGAGGTAAATCCACAAGGCACCTTGAGTTCAAAATATGAAGTGACAACAAGCGAAATATAGCAGAAATTGGGACTTAAAGGAGCTTAGAAATAATCTGCTTAGTTCATTTGAAATGTATTGTTACCCACTTTCTAACCATGCATATTTTTGTGTCTTGTGAGGTCTCATATAGCAATAAAAATAGAAAAGTTATACAAGAGCAGTGACATGCATAGTTTGCTTGTGTTGTCACAACTTTGTACAATATTTCCAGCTTTATAATATGCAGTTATCAGTCACATTGGGCATCACACATGTATTTTTTTTTCTGCAGGAGGGAAGACACAGGAGGGAACTAGTGACTCATGTTTTTGCTTCTATCGCTTCACCCCTGGGGAATCAGTTCCTGCACCCCTTGAATATAATGGTCACCAAGGGGTGCTGTCCTGACACGTTCACTTTCTGTTGAGAAGGTTAGAACAAACACCATGTGTGTCATTTAGTTGCATATATAATACTTCAATGTTAAGTCTGCATGAAGTCTGAAGTCTAGCCACTCTTAATCCTAGGTTGTCGTGACGTTAATCTAGCCTGGGTGGATATTTTGCTGTGCTAAAAGCACGGACTCCGCTACGCCCCAGTACGGCGGCTGGGGCGCCTCCCCTGGAGGAAAACGGCGCCGGGGAGGGGGACGGACACTGTTACACTTGCGTTTTTTTGTGTGGGGTAGCGTATACTCTTCTTACAAGTATTTACTATGGACAATGCTTGCGGGTGACCTCCACTGCACGTGACACGTGTAAAACGGAGAGGTGTCACTTTTGTTACGGAGCGAGCGAAGCGAGCGAAGTCTTTCCTTAGATTAACGGAAATTTCTGAGTATGAGCGGCCGGCCGGCCGGCCGGCCGGCCGTGCGGACGCTTTTGCGAGGCTTATAGGCGGCGTGATGCCCCAAAACGGATATTGCGGCGCCGTCGATTGACGCACGAGGGTGAAATTTTCACGACTCGTGGGTCATGTAATTCAACAGGTCGTATTAGCTTTTGGGCACGATTCGGCCGGGGGTGCGCCCGTGGCGCGTGCTCATGTGCGCCATAGGGTTAACATTAAAAACGGCAAAAACAGGCTATTGCTCCAGATGGTCCGACCACTACAACCCCATATGATGCACTCTTGGCTGCATCCCCACCCCACCCTTTCCCCTTACAGTATGAAGTATGAAAAACAGTGATTTTTTACTGGAGCTGCAAAGTGTGCCTTTGAACCACCTTATGATTTACTAGTATCTAATGTATTTGTCCATCAGGATCAGTTATCTAATGGCAGTAGACTGTTGTCTTCACATACTTCATATCTATTTTGGCTACTGCATTGTGTTCTGTAAAAAAAAAATATGGAAAACGTTTTGGATGTAGTTTTTAGTAGAATGCTTCTTTACAGATCCCGAAAGAAGATAACTGCTTGTTTTCTTCACCGCCACCAGTCTACCTGCTCTCTGCACACTCGGCAGAGCGCGGCAGGGCACCCCACGGAGCTGCACTAGTCACATCCGGGCCCCACGCCGGTCGACGGCCGATGCGATGGAGGCACTACTCCGAGGCACTACTGGGAGGCCTGCGGCGCGGACGACGGATGCGGCAGTTGGTCAAGACACGGCAGCCTACTCGAGGTGCTTCTCGCCTGGAGGACGCAGGCGAATCGCGTTATCCTAGCTGTGCCTCGTCATGGTGCGATGAGCCTTAATAGACTAATGCATATTCTTCCTTTGGTTGTAATTCATTTGCTGCTGCCCGCTGGGCTAAGGAGTAACTCTGTGCGCCTACTTTGTGCAGACGCTCGTCCAGTGCCGCCCTTCGTTTGCCGCACATATCTTTATTTATTCTTTGTTACAATTCCGTCTTTGGTCATTTTTTTTTTACCATGGGGGCACTTGAAAGTTTTGTTTTTAAATCTGTGGACATTGAACCTGGAATCGGTTTTTTGTCGGATTTCGGTTTTGTTTTTGCACTGTGGAAATATCTCGTTCAATATTTTTTTAAGATAGGGCGTGTTAAAACTTTTAGTCTCATTACTCCTCTGTGCATTCTAAAGTACTATAATGTGCATCTCAAGTGTTTGGTGCTGTACTGTTATTATTTATGGTTAATCCAGTGCTGATTTATGGTTAATCCAGTTTTTATTCGATTGAATCGTTGTGTGTAATGTGCATGACATCCGCGTACCGCCTGTAGCAGTGTTATATATTTTCATTTATGCTGGAAAATAATAACTTTCTTGTTCATTGGCTTTATTCGATGACAGAGACGTGCCAGATGACTGGGGCTGCGACTTGACTTGGTAGTTGTTAACGGTGCAAACTTCAACCATCAAGCATGATGTGGAAACGTCACATTCCGTTATCAAATCTTCGTACCGTAAATACTGAATAAGATACTATGGTCGCTCATGCCAAGCAAAGTTTGCGGACTTGTTAAAGGTTAAAAGAAAATATATTTCCTTCAACAGATGTCTATAAAATGAGGCTGCAAATGAGCGGTTTTCTTCTGGCAATTATGGTACTATAGCACGTTGCTGATGGAAGGCGGTCAAGAAAAAGATTATTTGCAGTTGTGCCTCATCGTCACTTATTTGCCAAATGAAATTTCAATTGCTGCTGTTATCCCCGGCTATAGTGTAACCGCAGGTTGTTTGAAAAGACAAACACTATTCGTTAGAATTGTGTTTTTCTATTGAAAAACAACCGGAGCGGTCCTTCTCCGGGCTATGTTTTGCATGTCTGGCCGCGAATTGGGGCAACTTGGGTCAGGCCTAAACTTGTGGCTCGATTTTCTTAAAAATTTCAGTGTATGGGCTCCCGCAGGCGATCTACCTGTTGGCACCGGTCGCTACTCGCTTAAAACCTCGTGGCACGTGGCACGTGCGATTCCATTTTCCCCATGTTAAGTCAACGGGGTTTTGGACACTTTTTGCGCGATCGGGAATAGCGGAAAAACGAGCCAAGGAAGAGGTGGTTTTCTTCCCAGCATTTTATGGCAAACACGTTTGGGTACACGCTGGTGTGCGCCGTATACCCCTCAGAACTTCGTAACGTGTCTTTGCACGAGGTCAAAGTTGAATTTTTTTCGCTCCCCATGTTAAGTCAATGGGCGTTTTTGCAGAGACTTTTTCATTCGCTCATTGTACAAAATTATATGATACGATTTTGTTTAAACTTTCAGGACTTGTTGAGAAAAGACCATAGAACATGGTGTTATGCTTCGTTAAGCTGTCAGAATTCGTTTGCTCTTTTGAAGCTCGTTTAAAAATGAAAAATTTTAACTTTGAAAGTCAATGGGAGCGTCTTTGATGCTTAATAACTTTTTACGTTTAAGATATGTTTAAGTCAAAAGTTGATATTTTATACAACTTTTGATGCTCTTTCCAATGATATATAGAACGTTATTGCACGTTGTTCCGTTTTCCTGGTGTTGTCCATCTGAACTTGTCAGTCACGTGACCCATTTGACCTTCGGATCCAATTCTGGTAGTCAATTCTGGCGCTTTTGTTACCATAGCGAAATATGTAACGCCGTGTTCACAGTTTACTGACGACGAAGGTCCTGCTTAATCTGGCAAATAGCGTTCGAGAACTGCGGCCAAGCCCCGCTGATCTTGAACGTGATTGGTCGGTGGGCGTAAAGAATCTCCGTCGTCAGGGAGACTGCGAACACGGGGTAAACCAAGGAGTAAACAATCTGTGCGTGGAATGGGGAGTGGTGAATGTGGAACGGCGATGATAGGTGCTGATGTCGTCGATTTTTATTTATACTGTTATCCTTATTATACATTCTGATCATTTTTTATGTTCAGGAGTTTTCTCTGTTGATTTAACATCAAAAACGGTGTGTTTAACTGTTATTGCCAAGTGCCATATTGATATTGAAATTGGGGTACAATTCAACATTCTGATTCACTGGTTTTCTATGGCCTGTTGTGTATCATATTATTGGTAATGTGAATATAGGTACTCCAAACGGCAAACACTGCTATTTTCTGGTATATATTAATGTTTGACCTGATTTTATATTATTGGTAATGTGAATATAGGTACTCCAAACACTGCTATTTTCGGGTATATATTAATGTTTGACCTGATTTTACTTCACTTCACCTTATATTTTTTGCAGGAACAGTTATCACAGCATTATTGTGCAAAAATAAGGGTGGTGTATCACAGCATATCACAGCACTCTGCCAGCCGCTTTTGGCTTCCATAGAGACATCAACAAGCCTATACCTCCAACACTACCGGAGGTTGACGCTAGCTCACGCGGAATGCGCTGGCAGCGGCTGGCAGCGCGCCCATGAAACACAGCCAGGGGTTTCTTCTGTAAAGTCATTGTTGTCTAGGTACATGGGCCTTTACCAATTGTTAACAGCTATAAAAATTGGAATTAAAAATGTTCAGGTATTATGAGCATCAGCTAAACAGGGAAGAGGATTCGGCTTCAGCCCATCTTGCAACGCCTCAATGAAATTTAACGAGAAACTTAAATTGAGGGAGCAGCTACTCAACTGTGGTAAAGCCCATAAATCCTTGTGGATTTACCTACATACCTGAGGTAAATCCACAAGGCACCTTGAGTTCAAAATATGAAGTGACAACAAGCGAAATATAGCAGAAATTGGGACTTAAAGGAGCTTAGAAATAATCTGCTTAGTTCATTTGAAATGTATTGTTACCCACTTTCTAACCATGCATATTTTTGTGTCTTGTGAGGTCTCATATAGCAATAAAAATAGAAAAGTTATACAAGAGCAGTGACATGCATAGTTTGCTTGTGTTGTCACAACTTTGTACAATATTTCCAGCTTTATAATATGCAGTTATCAGTCACATTGGGCATCACACATGTATTTTTTTTTCTGCAGGAGGGAAGACACAGGAGGGAACTAGTGACTCATGTTTTTGCTTCTATCGCTTCACCCCTGGGGAATCAGTTCCTGCACCCCTTGAATATAATGGTCACCAAGGGGTGCTGTCCTGACACGTTCACTTTCTGTTGAGAAGGTTAGAACAAACACCATGTGTGTCATTTAGTTGCATATATAATACTTCAATGTTAAGTCTGCATGAAGTCTGAAGTCTAGCCACTCTTAATCCTAGGTTGTCGTGACGTTAATCTAGCCTGGGTGGATATTTTGCTGTGCTAAAAGCACGGACTCCGCTACGCCCCAGTACGGCGGCTGGGGCGCCTCCCCTGGAGGAAAACGGCGCCGGGGAGGGGGACGGACACTGTTACACTTGCGGTTTTTTGTGTGGGGTAGCGTATACTCTTCTTACAAGTATTTACTATGGACAATGCTTGCGGGTGACCTCCACTGCACGTGACACGTGTAAAACGGAGAGGTGTCACTTTTGTTACGGAGCGAGCGAAGCGAGCGAAGTCTTTCCTTAGATTAACGGAAATTTCTGAGTATGAGCGGCCGGCCGGCCGGCCGGCCGGCCGTGCGGACGCTTTTGCGAGGCTTATAGGCGGCGTGATGCCCCAAAACGGATATTGCGGCGCCGTCGATTGACGCACGAGGGTGAAATTTTCACGACTCGTGGGTCATGTAATTCAACAGGTCGTATTAGCTTTTGGGCACGATTCGGCCGGGGGTGCGCCCGTGGCGCGTGCTCATGTGCGCCATAGGGTTAACATTAAAAACGGCAAAAACAGGCTATTGCTCCAGATGGTCCGACCACTACAACCCCATATGATGCACTCTTGGCTGCATCCCCACCCCACCCTTTCCCCTTACAGTATGAAGTATGAAAAACAGTGATTTTTTACTGGAGCTGCAAAGTGTGCCTTTGAACCACCTTATGATTTACTAGTATCTAATGTATTTGTCCATCAGGATCAGTTATCTAATGGCAGTAGACTGTTGTCTTCACATACTTCATATCTATTTTGGCTACTGCATTGTGTTCTGTAAAAAAAAAATATGGAAAACGTTTTGGATGTAGTTTTTAGTAGAATGCTTCTTTACAGATCCCGAAAGAAGATAACTGCTTGTTTTCTTCACCGCCACCAGTCTACCTGCTCTCTGCACACTCGGCAGAGCGCGGCAGGGCACCCCACGGAGCTGCACTAGTCACATCCGGGCCCCACGCCGGTCGACGGCCGATGCGATGGAGGCACTACTCCGAGGCACTACTGGGAGGCCTGCGGCGCGGACGACGGATGCGGCAGTTGGTCAAGACACGGCAGCCTACTCGAGGTGCTTCTCGCCTGGAGGACGCAGGCGAATCGCGTTATCCTAGCTGTGCCTCGTCATGGTGCGATGAGCCTTAATAGACTAATGCATATTCTTCCTTTGGTTGTAATTCATTTGCTGCTGCCCGCTGGGCTAAGGAGTAACTCTGTGCGCCTACTTTGTGCAGACGCTCGTCCATAACCGCAGGTTGTTTGAAAAGACAAACACTATTCGTTAGAATTGTGTTTTTCTATTGAAAAACAACCGGAGCGGTCCTTCTCCGGGCTATGTTTTGCATGTCTGGCCGCGAATTGGGGCAACTTGGGTCAGGCCTAAACTTGTGGCTCGATTTTCTTAAAAATTTCAGTGTATGGGCTCCCGCAGGCGATCTACCTGTTGGCACCGGTCGCTACTCGCTTAAAACCTCGTGGCACGTGGCACGTGCGATTCCATTTTCCCCATGTTAAGTCAACGGGGTTTTGGACACTTTTTGCGCGATCGGGAATAGCGGAAAAACGAGCCAAGGAAGAGGTGGTTTTCTTCCCAGCATTTTATGGCAAACACGTTTGGGTACACGCTGGTGTGCGCCGTATACCCCTCAGAACTTCGTAACGTGTCTTTGCACGAGGTCAAAGTTGAATTTTTTTCGCTCCCCATGTTAAGTCAATGGGCGTTTTTGCAGAGACTTTTTCATTCGCTCATTGTACAAAATTATATGATACGATTTTGTTTAAACTTTCAGGACTTGTTGAGAAAAGACCATAGAACATGGTGTTATGCTTCGTTAAGCTGTCAGAATTCGTTTGCTCTTTTGAAGCTCGTTTAAAAATGAAAAATTTTAACTTTGAAAGTCAATGGGAGCGTCTTTGATGCTTAATAACTTTTTACAGTTGAGATATATTTATGTGAAAAGTTGATAGGTTATACAACTTTTGATGCTCTTTCCAATGATATATACAACTTTATTGCACGTGGTGCCGTTTTTGAGAAATATAGTAAAAAAGCACGACATTACCGAGATTTGAGCTCAGACCTATATCGTTACGGTGTCAGGCGGACACGAGGACAGGTGGCGCCGCCGCCGCCCGCATAGCGGCGGGAATGTGAACTAACCTGTTTACCATCTATGGTATGGTACCATCGGGGACCGGCCGCCGTCGGCACCATTTCGGGACTTTGCATCGCAATAAAAGGCTTATTTACAATTGAAAATGGACTAGCGAGAGTCGTTATGGAATCAGAATTTGATGCTCTACAAAACTAGGCTATTTTCATTGTGATGGCATCACAGACTACACCGCTAAACCCAATAAAGCAGATTTATGTCGCGTCATGGATGATTACATATAATGTTTCTTTGATATATATGTAGTCGGGTCTTTCAGCTGCGTCCCTCCCCTCCCTCGCCGCGCCGGCGGGTCGGCCATCCGCGGCTTGCCGCCCGCCGGCTGCTGGCCGGTCAGCTGGCCGGTCAGCTGGTCGCCCGCGGCTGTCGGTGCAGTGCGGGATGCCTACTTGCGGGGGGCCGTCGTGGCGGCGGCCCGGGTGGACTGGGCGAGCAGTGAGTTGGGGAGCGCTGCGCTGTCTGGTGCTCTAGTTTGTATTGCGCTCGCATGATACGGCTTGAGCCAATACAGAGTGCACTAATTGAGCTGAGCAAGTCTTTATATACATTGAAAAGTAAAGCACTTTTTACTGCATCTACGGTGAGATGCTAGATAAAATTTATGGTCTACCTAATGATACTTATTACTTAACAATTAAGTGAATCATTTCGTCGCTAAACTCTCGTAAATTCGTATGTCCGCCTCACTATGGAATTTGGACCGTAACGTATGGCCTTTGCTCAGACAGTATACGAACAGGTGACGGGAATACCTCCCATAGAAGGATGCGACACGATTTTACTGCTAAATAGCGGCCGGCCGCCGTGGGGACGTTTTTGTACGACTTATATCTCGGCAACCACTGGGCTGATACACGTGCGGTTTTTTGTGTGGGGTAGCTTTTTCCCTTCTTTCACATAGTGTGCTACTCTCGATGCATATGGGTGACCCCTAACGCACGTTCCACGTGCAAAGCCAAGAGGTGCCTGTTTTGTAATAAGCGCAATAGCTCGCGGTAATTACTGGGCCGATTGCGCTAAAACTTGGCATGGAGGTAGACACTTTCCAGGCGATGCATTTCCATGTGTCTTGGTAGGGGTGCAACTGCACGTGCGCACGTGCAGGGCGACGCTTCCAGATCTCGAGAACGGCTGGACCGATTGTGTTCAAATTTGGCATAACGCTTGATACCGATCAGTAGGTTGCAGTCATTTAGTATGTATTTCCATGTGCCACGATTGGGGTGCAACTGCACGTGCGCACGTGCAGGGTGACGCTTCCAGATCTCGAGAACGGCCGGGCCGATTGAGTTCAAATTTGGTACACCGCTAGAGACCGATTAGTAGGATGCCGTGCGCAAGTCAGTTTGGACCCATCTTGCACGTGCGCACGTGCAGGGTGACGCTTCCAGATCTCAAGAACGGCTGGACCGATTGCACTCAAATTCGGCAAACATCTAGAGATCGATCAGTAGGGTGCCGTGCACAAGTCAGTTAGTATGTAATTCCATGTGTCACGGTTGAGATGCAACTGCACGTGCGCACGTGGAGGGGTCGTTTCAAGATCTTGAAAACGGCTGGGCCGATTGAGCTCGAATTTGGTACACCGCTAGAGACCGGCGAATAGGGTCCCATGCACAATGCAATTGGACACAGCTTGCACGTGCGCACGTGCAGGGTGACGCTTCCAGATCTCGAAAATGGCCGAGCCGATTACACTCAAATTTGGCACACCGCTATAGATCAGCGAGTAGGGTGCCGTGCACGTCAGTTTGTAGCACACCGACTCCGGTCTGCACGTGCAAGGCTCATCCTCTCGTTTGGGGGCGGGCGTTTTTGCTGCGTTTACAAAGGTGCTTGCTCAAACAACCTGCGGTCCCGCGATGCGGAGCCCAGCATCGCAGATGCTGGTAACCGCAGGTTGTTTGAAAAGACAAACACTATTCGTTAGAATTGTGTTTTTCTATTGAAAAACAACCGGAGCGGTCCGTCTCCGGGCTATGTTTTGCAAGTCTGGCCGCGAATCGAGACATTTTGGGTGGGGCCTAAACGTGCATTGCGATTTTCGTAAAAAGTTCAGTGTATGGGCTCTCGGGGGCGATCTACCTGATGGCACCGGTCGCTACTCGCTTAAAACCTCGTGGCACGTGGCACGTGCGATTCCATTTTTCCCATAGTAAGTCAATGGGGGTTTGGGACACTTTTTGCGCAATCGCGAATAGCGGGAAAACGAGCCAAGGAAGAGGTGGTTTTCTTCCCAGCATTTTATGGCAAACACGTTTGGGTACACGCTAGTGTGCGCCGTATACCCCTCAGAACTTCGTAACGTGTCTTTGCACGAGGTCAAAGTTGAACTTTTTTCGCTCCCCATGTTAAGTCAATGGGCGTTTTTGCAGAGACTTTTTCATTCGCTCATTGTACAAAATTATATGATACGATTTTGTTTAAACTTTCAGGACTTGTTGAGAAAAGACCATAGAACATGTTGTTATGCTTCTTTAAGCTGTGCAAATTCGTTTGTTCTTTTTAGGCTCGTTCAAAAATGAAAAATTTTAACATGGAAAGTGAATGGGAGCGTCTTTGCTGCTTAATAACTTTTTACAGTTGAGATATATTTATGTGAAAAGTTGATAGGTTATACAACTTTTGATGCTCTTTCCAATGATATATACAACTTTATTGCACGTGGTGCCGTTTTTGAGAAATATAGTAAAAAAGCACGACATTACCGAGATTTGAGCTCAGACCTATATCGTTACGGTGTCAGGCGGACACGAGGACAGGTGGCGCCGCCGCCGCCCGCATAGCGGCGGGAATGTGAACTAACCTGTTTACATCTATGGTATGGTACCATCGGGGGACCGGCCGCCGTCGGCACCATTTCGGGACTTTGCATCGCAATAAAAGGCTTATTTTTTTGAAAATGGACTAGCGAGAGTCGTTATGGAATCAGAATTTGATGCTCTACAAAACTAGGCTATTTTCATTGTGATGGCATCACAGACTACACCGCTAACCCCAATAAAGCAGATTTATGTCGCGTCATCGATGATTACATATAATGTTTCTTTGATATATATGTAGTCGGGTCTTTCAGCTGCGTCCCTCCCCTCCCTCGCCGCGCCGGCGGGTCGGCCATCCGCGGCTTGCCGCCCGCCGGCTGCTGGCCGGTCAGCTGGCCGGTCAGCTGGTCGCCCGCGGCTGTCGGTGCAGTGCGGGATGCCTACTTGCGGGGGGCCGTCGTGGCGGCGGCCCGGGTGGACTGGGCGAGCAGTGAGTTGGGGAGCGCTGCGCTGTCGGTGCTCTAGTTTGTATTGCGTTCGCATGATACGGCTTGAGCCAATACAGAGTGAACTGATTGAGCTGAGCAAGTCTTTATATACATTGAAAAGTAAAGCACTTTTTACTGCATCTACGGTGAGATGCTAGATAAAATTTATGGTCTACCTAATGGTACCCATTACTTAACAATTAAGTGAATCATTTCGTCGCTAAACTCTCGTAAATTCGTATGTCCGCCTCACTATGGAGTTTGGACCGTAACGTATGGCCTTTGCTCAGACAGTATACGAACAGGTGACGGGGATACCTCTAATAGAAGGATGCGACACGATTTTACTGCTAAATAGCGGCCGGCCGCCGTGGGGACGTTTTTGTACGACTTATATCTCGGCAACCACTGGGCTGATACACGTGCGGTTTTTTTGTGTGGGGTAGCTTTTTCCCTTCTTTCACATAGTGTGCTACTCTCGATGCATATGGGTGACCCCTAACGCACGTTCCACGTGCAAAGCCAAGAGGTGCCTGTTTTGTAATAAGCGCAATAGCTCGCGGTAATTACTGGGCCGATTGCGCTAAAACTTGGCATGGAGGTAGACACTTTCCAGGCGATGCATTTCCATGTGTCTTGGTAGGGGTGCAACTGCACGTGCGCACGTGCAGGGTGACGCTTCCAGATCTCGAGAACGGCTGGACCGATTGTGTTCAAATTTGGCATAACGCTTGATACCGATCAGTAGGTTGCAGTCATTTAGTATGTATTTCCATG